AAAAATTTGGGCTGTGACGATTGATCGTGGAGTGGGAAGTGAATTACAGCCCTTTTTTAAATATTGAACATCTTTCTTATCTTATTGGTCAGCCATAAACATGTGCCGATGATTGTGAGCCCAAGTAACAACACAAGGCCTGTCATCACCGTTTTTTACTGCTGTATTCTCTTAGTAATAGAGACGTCGCTGCAGAAGCCGACTTCAAATGTATCAGTAACTCAGCTTTTGACAAACAAGCTTCTAAGTGTCTCTTTTTGAAGAAGGCTGTTAGTTCCAATACGTGTAAACAGTTTCAAAGTTAAAGCGCCTCGATCTCTCTTTAAAATTTAATCCGCAAAAATCATAGTAGAATTTAACGGGGAAACATTCATATTATTATTATCATTATTTTTCACTTGGGTTCCTAATGAAACACAGTAGCACGTCTCCATTCCACTCTCTTCTCTGAAGTATTTTCAACCTGGATCCATCAATGCCCACAAACTTTCATTTCTCCCTCACACGATCTCCTCCATGTCACCCTAACCTCAGACGCCCAACTCGTCTTTTCCCATTTAAATTCTACTCAACGACCTGGCCTCGTGTATGATGTCCCCTATCGATCTTCTCAGTGTATACCCAATCCATATCCACTTTCTTCTACATATTTGTTGTGCGATGAGTTTTTGGTTAGTTGGTTTGTTTCCAGCCAGCCAGCCAGCCAGCCAGCCAGCTAGCCAGAGTTCCTTGTTCATTATTGCCATTGTTCTGACCATCTCATCGATATTCAGTATTGAGTGAGCGTAGGCAGCACCTCATGATATTTGTCTGTAGTTTGTTGTAATTGCTTTCCGTAACGCGCCAAGCCTGTCAGCCATATCGAGGCTGTGACTCACTTGAGTGTTGAAAATCTGGATGTTGTTCCCACATTATGCTGAGTTGTGTGCTGTAGATCTCCACACTGATTTCAGGTAAATGAAAACCTGTCTTGCTGCCACTCCGATCCTGGCTGGATTTGACATCCTCATCTGTGCCTGTTCCACTGCCCGTAGTTGGAAGCGTGCTGTCTTGCCTAGGTGGCAGGCGAAGGAGACAACTTCCTTCAGATTTCTCCCGTTCATGGTGATTGGTGTTTGTTGTTGTTACTGTCCTTGTTGTTGTTGTTGTTGTTGTTGTTGTTGGTGTTGTTGGTTGAGTATCTGAATCACCTCCGTCTTCTCTACATTCACCTGAGAGAAGTCGCATCTTCGCCGACATGCCCTGCCCTGCCCTGCCCTGCTGTGCCCTACCCTGCCCTACCCTGCTCTGTCTCCTCTGTCAACTTCTTGATTACTGTCTGTAGATCTTCGAGTTTTTGCGGCAAGATATTAGACATAAAGCATCATCGGTGGCGAAATCGAAATCTTCTTTTGGGGTTTCTTCATCGGTCCAGCGGGAAAATCTTACGGTCTACGTAAAACGTTCCATCAAAACTAATAAATAACAAATTGCGTGAAACAATTAAATTTTGAAAACGGCTTTTTATTATATCTGTTGGAATTCTATCTTCTAGCTTATCACAATTTTCGCTGGATAACAAATCGGTTGGTGATTTGTATGAAGGAATTGGCTTTCAGCTACTATTGATCACAAACGGACATTTGCTGTAGAACCATTGAAAAAGTCGTAACACTGGACATCTATTTTAGCCTTATATGAAACTCCTCAGTAGAGCACATGCATGAATCTGAATATCAACCTGAAAGGGATTGGTTTGTGAGCATTTGACAGTATTTCTGCCAGTAGTTTGTAGGGATTGACTGATTTTAAGGTGATTTTTATCATGGTTGTCCAGTCCTTCAAGGTTTCAGAAGGTTCTTCAATCTATGTTAGTACACTGAAATCAACCATACTTCATGAATGTGTTCGGTCTTCAATTTTCACCACCTAATTTGTTTGTACTGCATTCTTCTGAAAAGCAAGTTATGCAGTTCCTTAATTTATCAGTAGTATACTTTACTTCATCTTTGAGATTCTTTTGAGAACGGTATTCTCAAAACAGCTATCATAGCTCATCCTCGAAAAGGTATACATCCAAAGACTGTAATTTGTGAAGACAGAGCTGCTTTGTCATCCTGTCTATGTTTTTCATCAAAGGTGTAGGTAATGTTTATGCTGGCCTTATTTCTTCATTATTAGCAGGGGTGGCAATTTTTTATTACATACATATAAAATAACTGAATGACATCCATCATCCATGAAGATTCATGAATGTAGTGCTTTAGTAATTGTTTAAAGTAAGTTGTTTCAGACTTTCATCTGACGTATTTGTTGATTGTTATTTCCTTGAAGGTGCAGGGCATACCTGAGTTCTTAGAAATAGAAAGAATAGTATCCAGTACTCAAATTAATTACTTGCTGACGTAAAAATTGATTGAATCAATTAGAAGTAATGTTGATCCAGTCCACTAAATTCTCATCGATTGACAAAAGCTCACTTGATTTTGGTTGTCGTCACAGATTAGGTATTAGTTTCCCGAAAACAGTGATTATTATTAACTTATATATATATTAGCAGAAGAAATTAACATAACAGCGGTTAAAATTTTCTCTTATTTTCATAAGCATTAAAATTCCGAAATACAGTAATACAGCCGTTTCAGAATATAGTACGCCAGTAGCTGGTTTATTTATCGTGTTACGCTGTCTTTCTAATGCAAGGTGTTTTGCAAAGTTGCTCAATATACTTTTCTGTCAGTGTGATCAGTTGTACTGTCTGCAAAATAATGCCAGAGGCAAAATCATTCCTCTAAATTATTTTAAAAGCTTTATGTTTGTAATTTTTAAAAGATGCATTTTGTTTAACTTCTAGTTAATCATCAACTCCTACTTCGGCTTTAGTATGTATGTAAGTGTAAAATTGCAGAAAGTATACAGCCATTTTCAGTATTATACACTTTTGTTCCAGGCATCCTCACAAGCCATGTTTGTGCTTATGGTAATGTGCCTTTTAAATCAGTGATTCACAGTGGACTGGTGTTTATTAAACTTATGCTGGATGTCATTTTAAAAAGAGTTATTGCTATGCTTAGTTAAAATATTAAGAAGGTAGTATCAGTTGCTTATATTGAAAATTTTCGAAGAAATTTCCCAAGTGATGCCTTCAAGATTCAACTAGACACCAACTGAAACGATGGTAGAGGTAAACAGCCGTTATTCCACATTCAGCTAAGAACATAATTTGTACAACCAATTAGAAATAATCAAGTTATACTGAATTTCCTATCATGAATGAATAAATTCTTTGTCGTAAATGTGTGCTGAAACGGTCATATAGTAATATGCATTCGTTAAGGTCGTGTTAATCTAAATTAATAAATCCTTCCAAATGACTCTCACATGCTTTTCTCAGATACTTCAGTATGGGTTTTTGTAACTGGTTAGATCGTAGTGCACTCATTCTTTCCATTCATAGCTTTACCTTGGATGTAATTATTGTAAAATTGGGTGGACAAACAACTATCGTTCATCAGGTGACCAAACATGATTTACATCTGAATTAAGCAGAAGAACACAACAAAATGTTTGAATTACATGGAAAAAGGAGCCGCTCGTTTGCCTAACAGTATTTGTTACCATTATCTTTGCCATTAGTATTATTATTATTACCATTCCTTATGTTTTTGTGTTTGATTAAAAGGCGTAAGTAGTTTATACAAGTTGTACGTAATAATTAGCTACCAATTAATATTCAGTAGGTTCAATTTATGAACAGTTTCTGGGAGAATTCATTAAAATGTGTGTAATTTTACTAAATATTTGTGTATTTTCAATCAGAATTTTAGCTGAAGTAATCCCTTTTACTATTTTTATGTCGTTTGTCCAAAAGATTTTGGAACTACTTTCCACAGCGAGATTCAAGCGTTATAATTTATGTTATGTTTGCAATTGTGTGGTCAAGTGTTCCACTGATTATCAAGGAGGCTTTTGGTTCTTTTATTCCAAACTGTTTGCTTTTATATAAGAGACAGAATCTAGAATCAAGCAAAATCTTTTACAGGCATTGGGTTATATATGAAGGATTACCGCTTAGATAAGCTGAATAACTCTTCGTTTCGCTGAGAAAAAGCTAGTTATCGTTTAAATGTTAAGTGGAGATAACTAAATCTGTTGGTTATCCGCACGTTCGGAAAAAGCAGGTGAAGTTCACAACTTTACTCGCAGTTACACAATAGTTGAAAATTATCTTTGTGTCTCATGATAGTATACTCACATGATTTATTTTTATTCAAAGGTATTCATCCGAGGAAAAACTAATGTATCAGCAGATCAAGTGAGCGATCCCTCCAAATCTACGGCTTGTAGCTTAAGTCACTTGGTTTCAACCAATCAATCCAAGCTGTCGTACACCTTTCGCATCACTAAATAAATGGGTGAGACTTACAATCTGTCGATTCGAAATTCGGGAAATTGAAAGGAATATAGGAATATATATGGTTCTTAATTGTTTTATACTCACGGTGTTATACCTAATGCTAAAGTATTTAAAACTGGGGTTTCGGAAAGTAATCTTAGTGGTTTAACTACGGACTTCATATTTGTCATCATTATCCTTAGTAATTTCTATCACATCACTTCTTATTTATGTCAACACCTAAGTAGTGATAAAATCCATTGTAAATGGTCCAAAAAGATATTGCATACGTGCTTGCATTCAGCTGCTGATTTTAGAATAATTTCATAAAAGTGCTGTTTGCTGTATTTGTTCTGGTTTTTGAACTGTTTTTACCCATTTTGCTCACCTGATTAGTGTTTTTTTAATAGTGTATGTAATTTCCTCCTACCGGCACAATTCAATGAATGATTTCTTGTTATGCGTAGGCTAAACACGTAAACGTAGAAGTTGGCTTCATCTGCATCATTGTATGCTTTCATACATGTTTATGTAAATGCTCCTATTATATCTCTTTAACAACCCATTTGTAGATGTGTGTGCACCAAAAAATAACCTCAAGGTCGTATGTCTGTTTATCGAACTACTGAAGCAAACAGCTGAGTGCTTAAAATAAGCGGCCGGCTCCTGTCTATTACAGTTTTCCAATATTTATATGCCGAATATATATTTGAAATTACTGTTACTAAAAAAGTAAAACTAAATATTCTTGTTCTTGAAGGTGAAAGAAATAGCAGTAAAATTACTCTTTGAAGCATGAAACTATTCAGCATCATATTAATCTTACAAGCTGCCTTATTGACTTCTGTTTCTTGTCAAACGGAATGGCAACCAAATTATGGTAGTAATTACAGACGTTATCATGGAATACTTCAACCAACTCAACCCAGTCATGTACGACGATGGGTTGTGCTGCTGGGGCGTAAAGTCGTCCTAAATTGTTCAGTTGATTTGCCACCAGAGGTCAATCCGAGACAAGTACAATATAGATGGGAAAATCCAGAAGGTAAAGTACTGGGATACAGCAAACTATACGTCATACCAAATGTGACTATGAATGATGCTGGTGTTTATACGTGTCATAGTTCTGCTTATGTTGGCTTCAATGGTGAACAGTGGTCTGATCAACATCGGCTTTACTTAGAAGTTCGTAAGTTCATGGTTTATCTAGGTTTTTTCTGTTTGTTCTTTTTGTTGATAAAAGTGCAGAGGAGTTTGCAAAATGAAGTCCTTTAAAGCAGGTTATGAAAACATGAAGTGGCTGAACGTATACCTGTACTTACACAGCAGATCACGTTACTGAGCTGACATCATTTTGAGGGAGTGAATACGATTAACAAGTTCAAAATAAAGTTTATTGGGTTTATTGAACAACAAAAAAGGCTTTTTATAAGTTTAATCATAATGAGCCAGACAGATACAAAAATATCAGCTTTCCGATAAAAAATTAAAAGCTTTTATTTTACACAGTGGATGCATAGATGCATATGAATGTTTACGCCTCTGTTGATCTCTGCAGCTGAAAACCCCATGTACATGATAACGTTCACTACATTTTATGAAAGATTTATAGAAGTCACCCTGCAGGTTGTAGGTACAAAATATTACACTTGTAATAGCGAATGTCACTATAGTAATTAACTATATGAATCCTACATGCAATAAATGAAGCTAATAGTAAAACTACTCTGTTAGTCGTCATTTCAGATTTCTGTCAAATAAGAAGACAGCACTGGTAGCTGAAAATTATGGTGACTGATAGATGACATGAAAAGCATCAATAATTTTAGAATGAAATAGTAACTCTCCCTTTACTAGTCTGTAAAAACGACGTCAGTTAAATATTTCCAAATGGGAGATGATTAGTAATCACGTAGAAAGGAATGAACGTCAAAATAAATAAAAGCTATTCACCAGCTTATTCCAAAACTAATAGTTTTGCTCTGAAACGTATGTTAGACGGGTGTCTGAAGCGCTAATATCCTTTTCTGATTTGTTTTTAAGAACTGTAGAGACACCGATGTAAGCTGAGATGTTTACCATGTTTCTTACAGCAGAATGAACCTATAAATTTGTCCGTCTAAGATATAGATGCTCATATGTGAATTTCATCATGTACGAAGAATAGCTTAATCCCAAAAGCACCTTTGTCTACTAACAAAACACTAAAGTCCAAAACAAAATCTGTAGTCATATGACTTTATGTTGTTTCCCGTTATTTTCGTTCTGTCATTCCCAGTAAATTTTTTCACTACAACTTTGCTTCTTATTGCATTCCTTTTATTAACCATATGACTGACTTTCCAAAGCAATAACTTATACTGTACAAGTGGTTTTTAAACCTCTCACTGACCAACTATTTCATATTTACGAAATTACTTTTCATCTGGCAGAGGAGATTCATTCATTAAAGGGGATTTACATGAATTCCATTTTGTCACCATGAACGAATGAGCCCATTTAGTATTTTCATCAAATTTTTCTTAGATTCATCCTTCATATAAAGTGAGCTTTATATAAAAAATACATATGTGTAGGTTGCCTGCATTTGTGAAGTACTCAACCTTTTTCAGAATTGCAAGTTTACAAGTTTAAGGCCAACTATCCCACAAGAAGGCTAATGAAGGAAGAAGATCATTATACAATGAATAAATCTGAAGATAAAACCAATGCAACGATTAGTTGTGAAGAATAAATGAATTTAAAAGTTATACCAAGTGAGAATAAAGGTTACACAGGACCTAAACGTAAATTGAATGAATAACATGACAATGTCATAAAAATTTAACATCTTGAAGTCAGTCTATAACTTAATCAAGTAACACTGAGACTATTAGAGAACCGCTGAATTTTACGAAGATATGCCAGCTGTCTGCACTCACATAATTTTTTCTTATGACCCTGTCAGCCATCTTTACAACTTTCTGAAGAAGACTTATTATTACATCTTGTAGTATATGTTTGAGTATTTTATGAGGTGCTGAGAAAATGCTTTTCTGGTTGAAACTACCACTAGTATGCTGTAAGTATAACTGGATGGATCTGGAATTATATCATACTTCCAAATTTGCCGGTTATTTCGATAGATATTCCAGAGCAAGTTATATTTTCTTGTTTCTAGAAGAAAAGGAAATGAAAGTTTTTTACTTATTAGCTTCGTCAGGTTGTCGCTTTTTACTTTGAACTAAGATAAAATTCATCTATTTTCAGCTGTATAAAATGAATGTCATAATAGCACCTCTGTTTATCTAAAACAATGATCTTGTTTCATCTATTACCTGTAATATATAAATGTCACAATCATCTAATAAACAATGTCTTGTGAAACATCGTAGCCAGCTTTTTCAGGGAACTTGACTAGAAAGTAACCCAAATTATAAAGTTCTTTAGCATGCTGTCATGTCTACTGATTTCCACGTTATACCTTAGATGTTAGACAGCAAATTCTAATTATGTACTTGGTAAAGTATAACTGTAATCGTTTTTAAAAATATACTGTAAATCAAGTTAACTGCTACAAAATAACTGAAAATTAATTCATTTTTTTGGTTGATGACAGTGAATAAAAATGTGTATATTACTGCAAAATTACGAGTTGTCCTGGGAAGGATTTTAATAACAATACTTCATATAATGAATAATTATTTCGTAAACTTTGACTTCAGTAAAAGTAGGGCTAAGTAGTACCTATATCAGTGCAATCCTGTTCGAAAAATTTTCCGACAAAAATAACATAAAATTAGCTGAAATATATTTGGCAGACTTTCTCATCAATGATCTCGTTGAAGTGGTACATAAACTTATAAAGTTTGATTTTAAAACCTTGAGATGAAATTCTGAATAATGTTGTGACTTTGCAAAGAAGTACAAATTAGTGAATAGCACTTATAAATATATATATATATATAGCAGTAGCAGACTTATCAGTACTGTTTTTGACTGAGACGTGAAATATGCTTTTTGATAGATTTATTTTGCTATGAATGCTGACGTGATTTATGCTGGCAGTATTTTGTGCTAAGAAACAAATCAACATCATACGTAAAAGGTTTCGAAGGTTATCAGATCAAAATTTGTTGTACATCTTCAACATCACTTCGGATTACCATTTTATCAAAACGTTTGTAAAATATCAAAAATATGCATAATTTTCAAAGAGAAGATTAAAAACTGCTTCACTAACAGTCACCATCGAAATAAATTATAGCATGAGGTATTTGGAATTGACAAGACATGGTTTCAGCGAAGAAAAATTTCACTTCTCCACGAAGTCATTTACTAAGCTGTACATTCGTGAATGTATGTTACAGTGGGTAGAATGTTACAGAATTGTTTCCGGTCAGGCGGAAAAATATATTGAATAAAGAAAGGAAGTTAATTAACACACACTTGTGTTTGAAGTTGGAAAATAGACAAGGGATTATGAAATAATTAAATGTAATGACGTAATACAGGATGGGTCTACGGCAAAGTAGGAAACTGAACGAAGGCTTATGAAGATAAAACTACGATTATGTAATACCCGATATGCCTATGACACAGTATGAAAATGAACAGGGTATTATGAAAATGAGATTGTAATTACGTAGTGCAGGTTAAATCTTTGACAGATTCGAAGAATGAATAAGGTACACATGTGTAGTTGCCTCATACAAATGAATCTATGGCAGACAAGGCTTTACGATGGCCATGGCAAAGATGAAGGTTGGACGTACCGTTTTTGGCCACATAACGCTGGTTTGAACTTCTGGATGGCTAGTGCTTCAACTAAGGACAGATGCTTTGAATTTACTCCATTCGAGTGGTTTGATCGAACCCTGAGAAGAATTTGAATGAGCTCTCGAAAAGAGCTAAGTGACCTGAGTTTACGAGGTGTTCTATTATCGAACTGGAGATGCATTTCCGTTGTCCGTTTGCAGGCCAGACTGAGTAGTTTTCGCGGAAACGTTTTACCGACCTTTTCGATTGTGGCTGAATGAATTTTTTAAACACCTTAACCTATGTAAACAAGTTGTGTATATGCGGCCTAGTTACAAATTGGAATCCAGTGAAAAGTTATCTTAACTGTATGATGAAATACTTTTCCATGATTTTAGGCATATACTGAAAAAAAGTAATTCGGAGTTCATATTGGAAGGTATCAACAGTTTACTGAACAAAACACCTGACTATCGTATATGATTAATCATGAAAACTCCATATGAATACACTGGAAACATTAAAATTAGGCATATTTCATACTTGTATTCCATTTCTGACTAATTATTGCAAATAAATTTTGACTGTGTCAATAATGTTCAGCAGTCTACGTCCCTCTAAAAAGACGTCTCAATAGTTAAATGTGACATCCCTGTGCCATAAACATGATGAAAACTTGATTATTTACCATCACTGATTGCCTGATATCACAGACATATCATGAAATTTATTTGAGAGAGTAAACCACATATTATGAATTATGGAAAAACATGGGTTTTTATATTTAATCTTTGATCTGACGCCTCAATTTAGTCTCCAGAACTTCTTTTCAAAAGCTCTTCCTAAGGATACTTCATTAAGAGCTTATTAAAACTGAAAACTGTTTCAAAATTTTGACATGGGTGAAAATCCTCTAGCTATTTTAACGACATCTCAGAGTAATCATAATCTTATCATAAGAATAATTCTGTGAACTGATGCAAATTACTATGATAAGATGACATTTAATATCTCACGGGTTCCCAAACTTATCATATTGCACTAAAAACACTGTTTTTAAAGTAATTGCAATATCACTGGCCAGAAATGTGTTGCATTCGATCTCCAAGTAATAAATTCACGATTTCTGAAATCGAAGACACCTAATTCACAAAAAGAAAACTAGTGAATTATTTCAGTCTGAAGGTTTGTGGTGATTTATTGATTGATTCCGGGCTGAAATTCTTCATATACTGACATCATTTGAAGAAACACTGGAAACCTGGGGTCACTAGACAGCTGTTTCGCCCTAGTATGGGACTCCTCAGCAGTGCGTGCCCATGACTACGCGAGGGATCGAACCAAGGACTTTCAGGTCCCATGGCCAAAACGTTACGGTTGAGGCACTGGGTCGGGATCCAGTGGTCAATATTTCCTATTTGTGTCAGTTGACGATAAAGTACGACCTCCATC